TGAGAAGAATCACTGTGCTAAATCTCTGTGTTCCTTAGAAGCTACAGTGCTCAGAATTACACTGTTGTAGAAGATATGAAGTGCAAACATAACACAGGAGACAATTGAGAGAGTTTTCCAGACTGGAATTTATATCATTTAGGGGCAGCAATAGATTTGTGATGATTGTTACTCGTAAGATTGTTACTGCTCCTGTCCCTCTGTTTTTATGTGACTATCTGATTCTGGCTTTTCAGTTTATCATAGTACATCAGCCTGAAAATTTGTTAGCAAGATAGTCCTGATCCTCTTTTCCCACCTGCCCCCCACCTGTCCATTGCTTGTAAGTAGTGGTTGGGGTAGACATGGCTGTCTTTCTGTCTAATTTTATCATGAGCTATTAGTTTCTAGGCATTGGTAATTCTTGCGGCAGTTTGCACTGGATACTGTACTGGAGCTTAAGCAAATGCTAGTCGTTTATAGTTCACAGATTTCTTATTTATTTTCTTTTTGGTCTCATGATTAAGTGGTGCTAAAAAGTAACGTAAGCTTTCAAATGTAAACCATTCTGAGAAGGCAGCCCTAGAAACTGAGCTTTTAATTACTTCAATTTTTATCAGTTTGGAACACTTCTTAAACTGATTATAATTCAGAAACAAATTTACTTCAGTGCCCCTTTCCTCTGTGGGCTTCTGATGGCAGGGCTGCCAGTTTCTTCTTACCTCTCACTATTTTGATGTCCAGTTTGTATCAATGACTGAATTGTCTATAAGCTGAAACTCTGGAAGTAATGATCCAAGACATTTAATTGTCAGGAATCTGATCTTTGTTGCTTTTGAATTCTCATTGTCTTTTGTGGATAGCATCTGCTTTCAAGTATCAATAAACAAACCCACAATCATTCACCTGTGTTTTTTGGAGGCAAGAGAGATTTCTGGAGGCTCATCCATTGAGGGTTTGGCATTAGCCTGTAAAACCCTTTCTTGCAATTGAAACTAGATATGATGGATTTGACATCAGTGCTTAGGCTACTGGTTTAAAAGTAGCAGTTAGGTCCATGGGTTCCACTTGTGCTGAGTAGGAAGTCAGCTGCCACCCACACTGGTTACCAGTTCTATCCTTTGTTTTGGATAGCTGCCTCCTGCCAGGTGTGCTTCTGAATTTCTGCTGTCTTTAAGCTGGTTGAATGCTGTGCTTCACTGAGTCAAAATGTAGCGAACTGGGTCTCCACAGGCTGGTTGTCATTTCCCGCCTTGTTTTCTCTGGGCTCTTTGTGGAACTTGTGGTTCCCATCAAGTTGCTTGTTACCTCTCCCATTCTACATGCATTTCTTTCTAACATAAGCTTACAAAATGAAGCCTTTTGACTCCTTTTCTAGCATTTGCTAAGGGGACTGGGTGACAGTCCTTGGCAAGTTGAATCTGAACAAAAAGCTTTAAGTCGGTAAAGACTTGGAGACTGTCCTGTGTGCATCAGGTGAAATATTTTGGAAGTATTTAGGAAGAAGGTGTTATACTACTTAGTTAAACTGGGCCTGAAAAATGTTACTACTTGAAGCTTGTGGCAAGTCTTGCAATTTATTTTCTCTGCACTCTTTTAAACCTGCCTGAGGTTTAGGACAGGCAGTGAACAGATTACAACCTTCCACTACTTTGCAGTGGCCTAATCCAACATATAAATGATTGCAGCGAAGAAAATGCTTAGTGGTGGTGCGTACTTGTGTGCTCTGTACTGACAGGCAATTTACCTGTGGCTGTGGTTTTTGTTTGGTTTGAGATGTGAACATGTTCTATCAAACAATTCTACAGAATAGGTAATTCTAGATAATGAAGGTGAAATACTGCTCTTTTCTTAGTATTTGTTTATATTAAGTTATCCTTCTCTTTTAAGAGTGTGATGGAAAACTTTGAAAGAAGTTCTATATCCTCAACATCTTCAGTTTTCACTCCACCTCCAAAATCTGTCGGCACACCAGTACAACTTGCAAATAATACTACAAGGATTTCTACGATGAGACCTCTTGCAACAGCATATAAAGCTTCCACTAGTGACTATCAGGTATTTTAAGGGAAATGGAAGCATGTGTTTTTGTGCTGTCTCCTCTTAGTTGTATGAGGCTGTACACACGTGACCTAAGTCTTTATCTTCTCCTGTCATTTCTTTAAAGATGTGGTTCAAGTACAAAATCAGTCTGTTCAGTCTCTAAAATAATAAAACTCTATACATTAATGACTTGTTACTCTTCCAATGTTTAAGTGCTTGCTTCGAAAATCTTTCAAACATGTTTTATCAAAATGTAGTAGCACTTAGGAAAAGGAAATAAAAACCAACCTGGCTAGTATAAAAAGAATTAACTATATGTTTACTGACTTTTCCCTCGCCCCCACCTTCTCTCTTCCTTTCCCCTTCTGTCTTCTAGGTGGTTTCTGACAGACAGACTCCTAGGAAAGATGAAAGTATTGTATCTAAAGCAATGGAATATGTGTTCGGCTGGTAATATACAAGAGGAAGTAACACACTAAGTCGGTCAGAGTTTGAAATATGCTACTGGCATCCATGGTTAGTTGTATAACTGTTGGTGGCAGTATTTTAACTTGCATCTCACCTGATATGCCTTCAGTTGATTCAGCAGACATGTAGCTTGCACTTTAAATGGCGGCAGTGTACACACGGTTTTAAACACCAAGTAAGTGTAAACATAAGTGCTTTTTTTCCCATCTGCGCTCTGATTGCATGATTTTAGAAACAAACATCAACACTGACTTTTCTTCTGTAATTACTTTCTGTCAATAACTTCCCAGTAAGTTGGAAATATTAAAATGGCAGCTTTATTTACTGCCACCTTTAATTTTGTTGGGGTTTTCTTTCTGGAAAGATGATGGGCTACTTACAGGAAGAACACTGTGCACAGCTGGCTCCTAGGGACAGGGACTGTTCTTAGTGCATGTGATTTAAATGTTTTTATTTGGATTCATTGCTGATTTATAATCTCTGGCATAATGTAAATGTCATAGCAACCTTTTCACTCTGTTTTGTTAATAAAGCTAATTAAAGTTAAGTTTTTCGTAAGTTGTTTTTTAAACTAGTACGAGTTCTGTTAGGAAAACTATTCACAGTACTCTTAACTGTTAAGTATGAAGCTGCCTAATGTTAAAGTGTTATCAGCAGAGCAGATTTGCCTGATTTTTACTGAAGTAGTACTAACCAGTGTTAGAACTAGCTAATGTTTAATTGTCACCTCCATGGGTATTTTATAGCTGCGTGTACTTCGAGTGCTACAGTTTGTTACCTGTTAAGCCAGGAAATGTTGACTTGAAGTAGCTGAATAGAAAGATTCAATACGTCAGTGACGAGCTGCTTTCGTTTCAAGATTTCTAAGAAATTTTCTCCTAGGAATTGTCTGAAGCTCATAGCCTATGAGATAAAGGTCTCTTTGTCATCTGGTAAGAGAGCAATTTTTTTTCTCCAATACTTGGGAAACTACATGCGACTATTACTTTTTTGTGACTGTGTTAGTGTGGGTCAGCATTGGCATTTTAGTTGGGGCCAGTGGTGTGTTGGTCACGTGAATTCAGTCATACTCATTTCTATACTTTCCTTCACACTGCGATGTGGTCTCAAGGTTCCTCAGCTGCACAACTGTGATGTATGAATCCAGGAGCATACCTAATGTCCTCACATGCTAATGAGCATCCAGTTTACAGGATTAAGCTATTGATGGTCCTGAGAAAAATCTCCAAAGCTCTTAATAAGAAGGCAGGTTTCTATGTCGGGGCAGTTGGCTTCCATTGTATGCTTTAGAAGTAACCTATGTGCAGGCAGATTTAGAGATTTGAGATGCGTTTTAATATATTTGCTGGCTGATGCTTTTGAAATACTGGTTGCTACTCATCCACTTGCTTTTGATTGAAGGGAGCTACTCAAACCTAATTATTATATAAATGTCTTTCTCAGGATACATCTGTCTTGGTGAAAAATACTTGTCATGCAGATGACTTCAGAAAGAAAATAGGTAGTTCAGCTAAATTTTTGTTTGGTTAGTTGCTTTGCAAAATACACTTCTGTTGTGCTTCAGACTTGCAATGATGTGTGGGATTTACTTCAGTGATGAAGATCATGGTTGAAGTTGGATCAAGCAAGTCTGAAGTGCTAACTACATAAGGAAGGAGTTGAAGCCAAAGTCAGTAGTTTGGCTGACCTGTTTTACCAATAAGTACCACAACTGTGCTAAGTTGTGGGATTTTTTTCCAGTTGTTTACATTAGTCTCTTGTTTCTTCTAGCTTTAGGAATGATTTTACTGACAGGTCATTGCAGCTTCCTGTAGAGTAGAAGCACTCAAGAGTAGTGAATGTTTATTTTGCTCTGGAGGTAGTAAGTAGAAGGAGAAGAAAGTTCAGAACAAATAAAACTACTTCTGGGCAGTATCATTAAGCAATTACCTTCATATGGCTTCTGCTGGTAAAGACTGCTGGTACGACTTAGTATATTGTCTTAGTGCTGAGCATTAGTTAAACCCTGGTATTGATGGTTTGGGTTTACGAAATATGAGAACATTATAGTCCCACACTGCACAAACCACCTGTTATTATATGAGCATATAGAGGCCATGTGTGAAAGGACAGAGGATATTGGGAAGCACATGTGTGAAGAATCTGGAGCACTTGGAAGGTGTTCAGGTAAACCTTTTCAAGGCTAGCTACTATTGTTAGCATTGCATTTAAAAATCAAATTCTTCATAATTAACTATGTACCTGCTGCTTTGCAGTAGGGAAGGATTCCCTTCTAGCTGTAGCTAGATGTGATCTACATTAAAACCAAAGTTAGGGACTTCAGCTAGTGAAGTAACAAACTCGTGAAACTGTTGTGGTTTCAGTTGTATGAGATTTCTTGTAAGACTGTGGACAGCATTTTTCATGGGATTATAAGAAGCTGCTGTGGAAACTCAGAGGGGAAAAAAGAAGCTTACA